TCTGTGATCCACAGAGTGTAGCTGGTTTGGTCTTTGTGCAATGACAGATACTGAGGTCTCCTGTTCAGCCCAAGTTATGGTTCTCTCCTGCTCGCTCTCCTCTTTGCCCCAGGTTCCTGCTTCCATCCTGTCACTATAGGATTCAATGCCTATACTTCTCAGGACTGGAAAACTGGTTCAGGTCAGTGTGATCCCCAGAGGCCACTCAATTTACATCTGTGCATAGCAATATTGAAATACTTTCATATGAAACAGCATCTCTGTTCAGTGGTACCAGACAGTGTGACAAGCTCCATGAAGTCTTTGCATTGGATGTGCAACAGCAGCAGCAACCCCAGGCCTTAGTGGGTGTTTCAGGAAACTCCTGGCATTGTTACCTTTGGTCTCAGAAAGCTGTGAGATGTGATATATGTCCATATGGAGAGACAGGACCAACCACCATAAAGGCAGACACAGCAAGAGGCCAAGTTGGTCAGTCAAACCAGATAATTTTTTTCTAACCACTGTCTCTTCCTCATTCTATTCTTCTAGCATTTACAAACTTCTGATTTCCTTTTCTGTTCCTTTAGTAACCATCTATGTTTGTATTTACTTTAGGCACCAAATAGTACCTTTTTCTTCCTTTAAAGAAAACTGGATTGATATTCAAGCCTAACTGAGGGATTTTTCCTGAATTTCTTTTTTTTCAGTGACTTTTAAATATAAGCCTCTGTCCCACTTCCTCCTTTTTATTCCCTTTTCATTCTCCAATTCTGATGTTTCCAGTAATTTCTAGTTTTTTTGCCCTCTTAATATTTCATGTTGTATTTATGCACACTGAACTGGATTCCATTGGCAGTCCAGCCACATTTCTTAACTACCTTTAGCAGACTGTGTGATATTAATTTATGAGCCATCCATCTTTGCACTACCATCTTCTCTCTGTTTTGATAACAGCAAAATTTGACTCATTTGTACCTAAGATTGTGTGTATTACAAAACACTATGAGAGCAGAGCTTGTCAGAAAATGCCTGGGGAATCCAGTAATCATAAACAACTCTTGAAAACAAGGGGGTTCAGGAGGGATGGATGTGCTTCAAGCAGGAAGTTTTGAGTGCACAGGAACAGGCTGTACCGGTGTGCCGAAAGGCAAGCCAGCGGGGAAGACAACCAGCTTGGTTAAACAGGAAGATTCTGAAGGAAATCAGGGATAAAAAGGGAGTTTACCAACTATGGAAGAAAGGGCTGGCTACTTACGAAGAATTCAGGAAGACAGCCAGATCATGCAAAAAGAAAATCAGGGATGCAAAAGCGCAATTCGAAGTTAAATTGGCCACTTCTGTTAGGGATAACAAAAAGTCCTTCTATTAATACATTAATAACAGAAGGAGGGGCAAAGAAAACCTCCATTCTTTGATGGACTTGGAGGGAAACATAGTTAATAGAGATGAGGAGAAGGCTGAGGTACTTAACACCTACTTTGCCTCAGTTTTTACCAGTAAGACAGGTGGCCCTCAAGGCAACTGGCCTCTGGAGCTGGTAGACAGAGATAGGAAAC